TCAAGGTTTTGTGTAAGGTCAAACTGCTTTCTAGGCAAAGCACAGCCTCCTGCTCTACACTGTTTGTACTTTCAAACTACTGCGGCACGGCATCACCAAAATATTTGTTAAGCTTTATTTGTGCTAATCTACAGTAGTCAAAAAGCCAATAAATAAAAATAAGTATGTATTAATATCTTGAACAAATGAAGACGAGGGCTATTTCTCACATAAATACCTAGTACTGTTGGCCGGAACTTCCTTCCTTCCTTCCTTTTTTTTTTTTTTATGTGCAGCAAAGATTTCTCAGCCTGAGTACAGAGCAGATTTTGAGTATAAAGCCAACAGAAGGCTGACTGCTACTTTTATTATGACATGGAAAAGCCAAAGATATTTACTTCTACCCTTTTCTCCTCTCCATGACAAATAAGTTTTTAGTGCCATCTTATGGAAGGCAAAACAAAACTTCACAGAAAAACTGAAATGAGTTACATTTGTCAGAAAGAGTGTAAGACAAATATAATTAGTATTATAGGAAAAGCTTATGGGAATGAAACCTAACATTTATATTGTTAGTCCAAAGACAATGAAAAAAGAGGTTGAATTGTGACAGGAAACCGAAACATAAATACATACATATATGTATATATCTGCATATCACATATACATATTAAAAACAGAAGTTGCCTTATTTAAAGTTGGTCTGATGAAGTTAAATCCAAAGTTTTCACTATTACTATTGCCTATTTGTTGGAAGTTAAGTACTTTACATGCATATTTTAGAAAGAATTAACAGGAAATGGACTACTTGGAAGAAAAAGCTATGGAGCTCTGTAAATCTAGTGAGCTCCCAACACAGGCCAACATTCCATTTCACAGTATATTAAAGCAAAGGGAATCAACGCCAAAGAGCATTTGTGAAGCCAAAGGGATCTTTCCCCACATCACATTTGCTTGCCCACAGGCTACAATTAGTCCAAAAGGGATCACAGTGCTCCCACCCTGATCCACAACAACACATCCCCATTACAAACTCAGCTGAGTAGCTCCACCTATGATTTTCCTTGTAAATCAGGCCTGAAGGAGGCTTTGGCATTTGCTTCAAATGGTGGTGTAGTGTCCCAAGAACAGCTGGCCACGAGCCTGCAGACCCACCTCAGCTCTTGCACTATGGTAGGCAAGGCCTCTTTCCTGGGATGCCTTCATGATGGAAAAAGAGCTGCAGGATGGATGATACTGGGCCTCAGAAATCTTACATAGACCAGCACGTGAAAGACGAGTGGAGGAGCTCAGCTTGAGGTGGAGGAGCAGGAGAGGTGGCTGGCTGAGCAGTGAGTCAGTGCAGGGCCGCCTCTTTGGATGAGCAGGAACCTCAGGTCCTGAGATGAAAAGCATGAAGGAAGCATAATGCTTCGCTGGCTAGGAAACAATGCTGAGCACATGAGTTTAGTAGATCTGTCACAGAAACAGCAGAAGGACTGGCAATGAACAGACTGAGATACGGATGGGACAGCAGCTGGAGTACAGAGGCCTTTGAAAAATAAAGAGGACTCTTTATTATAATTTTTAAATGTTAATAACTATAATAACATCACTATGGAGATCTGGATGCACAGATTTATTTCTTCAGGAATAAGAGCTACTTTTGGGATGATATGGCAGGAGGAAAAAGGAAAGCCAAGGACTCCTCCTCTCCTGACCACTTTAAAGCCTTCTCGCAACCACAGCAATGAATATTTGCACACTACTTTTGGAAAGATCACTCTCATTCATTTGACATACTTGTTTTGCTTTGTTAGGAGTCTGAAAAGCACCCTAGCAACAGTTCTAATCCTGCTCTTCTGTGAAAAATACAGGTGTGTGGAGGCCACGTACAGCATCACAATCAGAAAGCAATTTTTATTTTAAAATAAAATGTATATAAACATTTGTTGACAAAATTAATTAACGATGCCAACATTACCCTCACATAGGAATTCTACCATCATGGAAAAGGAATTACCTTAACTACCTTGGATTTAACACCGGTGTAAATGAGTAATTTTACGTCACTGTAGCTACAGGGGGAACATTTCTAAAGAAAATGCCCATGTCCAAACCAGTAATAAAAATAAGTTATAACCTAATAATAAGAACAAACATCCAAACCTAGCACATAAAACCATGAACAGCAAAATCTATTTCTCATGTGACACCAGTGTGCAAAGATCAGTAAATATTTGAGTGCACTGAGTATTCTCAGTGCGATGTAAACAGCAGATTAAGGAGACACAATATTCTGTGCAACTTAATGCCCAAAATAAATACATCAAAAGAATTTTAGATCAACAGCACATCGTGTGCGGTTATGAATAATGTGCTGAAATCTGCCAAGCTATTTTTGAACACTTTCAAAGAACTTCGGTGTTTTGAGATGAGACAGAAGACACGTTGGTGTGCTTGTTAAATTCTGTAATAAAATCTGGCAATGTAGTATTTGTAAATTAACATTACAATGCTGAATATTTCTTAATTGAATCCACATCTCTCTGTTTATGTAGAAACACTCAGTGACATCCCACTAATAACCTAAACAGCAGCTGGGGACAGAAGTCAGCCAGGCTCTTGCAATAAGCTTTGGGCATGCAAAGTTTTGGACATTTGCAATTCTTCCACTGTCAGAGAAGACCTCTGAGCAGCCTGTACACTTCCATACAAGAGGTTAAGGTGCCATATGTTGTTCTGTTTGGCCTACACTTTCACAGGTTTATTATAAAAAGAAGGTAGAGGCTGCCAGTATCCAGATAAGATAATTATATGCATTCCCAGCTGCATCTCCCTAATATAAGCAGATACAGCAATTTTTAATTGTTGTTGTATCCTTATACCGTCTTTTCAAATTTAATTTCAAGGTATATTAGCTTCGTATTGCTTCCTCTGAAATTGCATTAGTCACACTGTCTCAAATCATGTTTCAAAACACTCTTCACTTATAACTCTCAAAAAAAATCACTTCAGAAAGCAGTTATGTGGGAAGAGTGTATTATTTGAACTGTGCAAACTCTGACCCCTGATCATTTTTGACTGCAGATTATTTTCCTTCTACATAACATGTAAATAGCAGAGGTGCAAGCTTTCAGTCACAACAGTGAGAAGATCTTTCACTTAGCAGCTGAAGGATCTGTGGGAATCTCAACAGCTATCAACTTCAGTCAGAAGACCTTGAAAGAATGCCATTACTGTCAAGTTTCTACATGTATTTTGGCACAAGCTGATTCCCCTATGCTGCTTTATGTTGGCACACTTCATACATCAAACATTACGTAATCCTCTGTCTAGCAGCATACCACCATTTATTTCCTGTCTTTTGTGAAATAAGGAAGCTTTCTGCTTCAGTCACTGCCTTGGTTATCTAGGAAATCAGTGTGCTTACAAGGCACCAGACTGGAAGTCTGGACTGGGGCCTAGGGCACCTCCTCTTACTTCTCAGGATTCACATCAGGAAACTAACCTAGCTAAAGGAGAGCAGCCCAGCCTGAAAGGAATGCTAAATGTAGGTCATCCCAAAGATGCATGAGTTCAAAGCAACCCAGTCACAGAGAATTTGTAAAGAGACATTTCACTGCCAATTCTACTTCTCTAGCTTACTGTATGTCAAATCAAATTGGTCCATCTACAAAAGTTATCAGCATTTCTTCACTACAACAACATATCACTTCAGGATTGTTTCTGACTTTTTGGAAGTAAAAAAAGTTAAGTTACCAACTTAAAAATATCAGTACTAACAGGATGCTCAGAGGAAAAGCCACAGCACTATCAGAGCTGGATTTTTAGAAGACCTGGGGAAAAAATAGGTATAAAAACTCACAAAACACCAAAAAAACAAACAATAGTAACTCTATTGTTCTGTCACAGAAGGATGGGCTTGGAGAATAGAGTCTTAGTTTCCAAAAGACAACACCACCCTTTTCCATCAGATGCTATAGGTTTCTTCACATTTCAAGCTACAACTTAGCTACACACGCTCATTTTACAATGACACAGATTTAACAACCGCTTTGCTGCAGGACCTAAGCATTCCGAACAGGTCTGTAATAACGCACCAGCTCGTTTTTCTCCCCTTATGCATCCACACATCAAAGCACAGCAGGCATTAAGCCACCTCAAAGCACCGCTGACTAACCCATGAACAAGATGCTGCTGTACAAAGCTGGGGAGCAGACCCCCAGTTTGTCGAATGAGGAGCAAAACACGCTCAGGAGGTGCTCTTCACCAAACAAAACATCAGCATCCTCACATGTAACACTGAGGAGGGTTTCCGGGCAGCAGGGATCTGGTGTTAGTCGGGCTGGGTGTGGAGCAGCACTTGAAGTCCCATCAGTGATGTTCAGCACACACCGCAGAACTCTTCAGCTCCTGGAATAATTCTGTACTACCTCAGGCTTCAGCACAACGACCTGTTTTACCAGCCACCCCTAACACTTTAAAAAATATCACAAAATCACAGGGGCTGGAAGGGACCTCTAGAGATCATCGAATCCAACCCCCCAACAAAACAGACTCTCTACAGCAGGCTGCACAGGCAGGCGTCCAGGTGGGTCCTGAATATCTCCAGAGAAGGAGACTCCACAACCTCCCTGGGCAGCCTGTTCCAGTGCTCCGTCACCCTCACTGTGAAGAAGTTCCTTCGCATGTTGGTGCGGAACTTCCTACGCTCAAGTTTATGGCCGTTTCACTGTTCAAACACATAAGAACGAAAGAGGACACCAAAGCCCCCCCCCCTCGCGCCAGACCCGGGTAAAACTATGCCCTCCGCCCCCATCCCGCGGCGCGCTGGGAAGTTGCGCACAAGGGCTGTCCTCACAACTCCACGCTGTACCACCCGCCCCTCGGACAGGCCTCGGGACCCCGGGCACCCGCCGCGCACGGCAGGAGGAATTGGACGGCCCGGGCGGCACACGGGGAGGGGGGCCCGGCCGGGCCGCGTTTACACCACGAGAGCCCGGCAAGGACAACGCGGCGCGGTCGGAGGGCTGCCTTACCCACGGTGGACTTGCAGGCCTCGCAGAAGGTGTCGTCGGTGAAGCGCTCCATCAGGCTGGTCTTGCCCACCCCTCGCGAGCCGATGATGATCACCTGCAGCTTGAAGTCGGCGGGCCGCGGCGGCTGCTTCCTGCGGCGGGCCTGCCCCCCGGACAGAGCCGGCGACCCCCCCGCCGAGCCCGCCCCGAGCTCCAGCCCGCCGCCCCCCGCCCTACGCTGCGCCAGCCCCGAGCCCGGCTCCATCAGCGCCGCATGCGGCGCCGCGCCGGCGCCGCGCTCCCC